ATAAGCCATATTCGTAAAAATGTTTTTAATGATAAAAGAATTTGGAGATTCTATGCGTCCCATGGTTTAGCCATTGCGACTTTTGTGAGGATTTTTCTAGGAGTAGCTGCACAGGTGGCTTTCTGAACTGAATCAAATTGGTATTCTTAAACCTGAAACAATTTAGGATACAATGAATTTAGCCTTTTAAGGTAACGGTGAGATATTGGGTTTATTAGAGAATTTCAATAATCTGTGCTGGGAATAAATGCTCTGTAAGCACTGGTCGACCAGCATCAACTTGTTGCTGCCTAGAGTTGTAACAAGTTCTTATTAGGATTTTTAAAAAAAAAATTTTGATAGTACTCAAGTTGAGGAAGGTCATACAAAACAAAATTATAGCTTGTATATATTGGTGTAGAAATCTGCCGCTTTTCCTGCAAACTCTTCGTAATCGGGCTCTCGTGCGGATGTGTTATAGCCTAAAGTAAAAGGTACAGTATTCTGCTACAATCGTTTCGTGTGCAAAAAAGGTCTTTACCTAGTTGTCGTAACAGTGGAGCCAATTTATCAATATCCTTCAAAACACCGTCGGAGTAGCAACCAAACCATGAAGTCAGTGCCTTTTTATTCACTTTTTCCTTTACTTGAGAGGTAGAAAACTCTTTCCTACGATGAATTAGTTTAGGTGAATAAACACTACTAAGAACATTTTTACTTACGGATTCAATTTCACCTCACTACCAATTTTCTCTTCATGTCGCAGCACATCATCCGTCCATCGTACGTCGAGAAAATTTAGAATTCTTCGGGCTTCATCCTCCGTTCGCTGTACCAGACGTTCATAGTAGACCTTAACAGCGATGAAAATTGTATGTATGAGTAGATTTGTGGAACTACCTTACTTGGAGACACAGTCCTTTGGCATTCGAGCAGAAATTAAGCATTTTCGAAAGTTGAACATTCCATCTTCTGAACATTTGCTGCAAAGTCGTTCATAATACATGGTCAACTGTAACCATTTCAAAACATTGAGCTCATTAAACTCTCGGTACGCCTTCCAATTATTAGGTTTTGTTTCGGTGGAACAACGACAATCCTTCATATGTATGACAATGATTTATCGAAGTTAAAGCATGAAAGGTGGAAGTAGTTTCTATAGAGCTTATGAAAAGAAAGATGTTGCGAAATTATGTATGATATCAAAAAATAAAAACTCTATGGTCTA